CACTGACCAGCTGGTTTACATTAAAGCACTTGGTAGAGGCTTTAATTCAAAGCGACTTGCATTGCACATTTTCCCCGGGAATCACACCCATGATTTGGGTGTTGCAAGCACGATGATCTATTTTTCATCTACAGGAATGCCTGTAATAACAGTCAGCAGTTCACTGCAGCATGTGGACTTCCACAGAAATCTATATCACAAAAGACTGTTGATAAAGAGGTTTATCGGGGGTTCGAGTTTGGCGCATGTCATGCAGCAAAAATAGAGGAAACTATTTCTGAACTTCTGCACACAACACATGTGTGATGTGAATGAAGGAAACCTGCTGTCATGACAACAGACGTGTGTGTGTGTGTGTGTGTGTGTGAGTGTTTCAGGAACTCAACACTCATCAGGAACACACTCACCTTCAGAGATTCAGACGCGCATTGATGTCACTTCCACTCTGAAAACACACACACACACACACACACACACACACACACATACACACACTCACTCACACACACACACACACACACACACACAATATATGATCCGGTCACATGTTCAGTCATGTTTGAGTTTGTTCTGTGAGCTGATAAACTAAATCCAATGTTTGAAAGCAGGTAGATGTAACCCATTCCAACTACTATTAATAATAAGACAAGAATTAATATTAATAACAGCAATAATAAAACTAATACTAACACAAATGATAACAGTAATACTAATAATAATACTAATAACACCATTGCAAATAATAGTACTAAAAATAAAGTTGATACTAACACTAATAGGAATACTAATAATAAAACCAATACCAATATTAAAATTAAAACTATGCTACGAATAATACTAGTAATAATACTAATACAAACAATAATAATAAAACTAAGATTAATACTATTAATACTAATACAAATAATACTAGTAATATTAATATAAATAATAATACTAAAAGTAAAATTTATATTACTTTTATTGTGATACTACTACTACTAATATGAACAATAAAATGAGTACTACTAGTAATAATACTAATACTATAATTTATACTATTACCACTAATAATACTAATAATAAGATTAATACTAAAAAAATTATACTTTTAATAATATGAATAATAACAATAATACTAACAATACTAATACTAAAAAATAAAACAAACACTAGTTATACTACTACTATTAATAAAAGTAATCAATTTAATTTCTATAGCACTTTTCCAGACTTTAAAGCCGTAAACAAACACATCAACTACATTAAACACAACCACACGATTTCTACACAAATCTGACTCAAGCAAAAGCAGAGGACACCCAAAGTCAGTGTGTGGTCAGAGATTAATAAACAGTGATCAAACTAAAACAGACACCGTCTGATACTATCTCCACTATCCAGCGAATGCAGCTTATTTACTTGAGATGAAAAGCAGTGCGTTAAAGAGCTGCGGTCGTGACGATACTCTCCACCTGATCACTGAACTCTGTTTACTACGGTGGCCGAGAGAGCTCAAGGCGCTGCAACTTAAGAAAACACATGCAAATTGAAAAAACACCAGCAAATTAAGAAAACATCTTCATCAGTTTGACAACACATGCGCTGCAAATCCTCACAACACATGCAAATGAAGAAACGCGCTGCAAATAGCACGGATTTACACGATCAGGAATGAATCTGACGCACCACACGCTCCATAACACCATGTGATGTGTGTGTGAGCTAAACTGACCCGTCTATCTATCTCGAACTCCCGTTTATGGCCACATCAGATCCGAAGAACGTTCCGGCCTCCAGCCCACTGATACATGGCTGTGTTCCAGATCTAAGGTCAGAGGTCAAAGGTCAGCACAGGACATCAGGGTCTCAGATGTGTGTGTGTGTGTGTGTGTGTTTACCGGTTGTCCCTGGTACCAACCTTGGCAGTAATAATGTACTCCGCTACATTTACTTGACTTTAAGAGTAGATTTAAAGGTGGCTACTTTTACTTTAACTCGAGTACATTGCTAACGGAAAACTGTACTTTTACTTCGTTCCTCTCGTTACTTAATTTTAATGCAATACAGTTTATTCCAAGCGCGCTGTCTCTTTTGTGTGTGGCGTGAGTGATGCTCAATTCACAAATGAATCGATTCCGTTCCAAGGCCTTAATCAAACAAGCTGGCAAAATGGTCTGAATTGGTTTGCGGATCAGTTTGAATGATTTGATCAGTTTCCTGCACGCACTGAAATGTCTGGAGTTGTTTCTCATTCATAACAGAAAACTGAAGAACACAGTGAACATAAAGAGGGTTATGAAGTGAACCTACAGTCAACTGAAACCAAATCTGAAGATCCGTTGTAACTAGTAACATTGAGGATATTTTTACTCTTACTGAAGTAACTATTAAGATTACCACTTTTACTTGAGTAACTACTTGCACTTTTTTATTAAAGACAGTTTTTGAAAACTCTACCCTCCTCTGTTAAAGGTGTAGTGATTCACTCGTGATTGATTCAGTGGTGTAGTGATTCACTCAGGATTGATTCAGTGGTGTAGTGATTCACTCATGATTGATTCAGTGGTGTAGTGATTTACTCATGATTGATTCAGTGGTGGATTCACTCAGGATTGATTCAGTGGTGTAGTGATTCACTCATGATTGATTCAGTGGTGTAGTGATTCACTCGTGATTGATTCAGTGGTGTGGTGATTCACTCAGGTTTGATTCAGTGGTGTAGTGATTCACTCAGGATTGATTCAGTGGTGTAGTGATTCATTTGTAATTCACATGCTGAAGTCATGTTGTATATTCCAGTCTTTGCTCAGTAAATGAAGCGTGTGAACTGTGATATACTGTAACATCTTCTCATGTCATCTTTTTCTCATCTACTTAATTTCTCTCTGATTTGATGAGTTTTAATAGGCTTTTATTCATCAGTAACTGAATTCAAAGCTGAATGATTGTGATGAGATTCAGTGCAGGTTTTGTTCACTTCACTTTGATTTGAGTTCATTCAACAGAACTCTTCAGTTTTACTGGATTGATTTTTTTTTTTTACAGCATATGATCATAAATGTGACCCTGCAGCACAAAAGCAGTGTTAAGTCGTTGGGGTATATTTGTAGCAATAGCCAACAATACATTGTATGGGTCAAAATTATAGATTTTTCTTTTATGCCAAAAATCATTAGGATATTAAGTAAAGATCATGTTCCATGAAGATATTTTGTAAATTTCCTACCGTAAATATATCAAAACTTAATTTTTGATTAGTAATATGCATTTCTAAGAACTTCATTTGAACAACTTTAAAGATGATTTTCTCAATATTTAGATTTTTTTGCACCCTCAGATTCCAGATTTTCAAATAGTTGTATCTCAGCCAAATATTGTCCTATCCTAACAAACCATACATCAATGGAAAACTTGTTATAAAAAATTGACCATTGTGACTGATTTTGTGCTCCAGGGTCAGAAATGTGTGTGTGTTACCTGGCGGGACATTTGGCAGTGCTCATGTCGACACACTCATCCTGAACCCACTCTGTGTTTCCTGCATTACACGCACACACACACACGCACACACACACACACACACACACGTATGTGAACAGCAACATGACACAAACCATGTTTTATTGACAGTTCAGGAATTTATTGATGGAACGAAATCATTAACGACACTCATTAGTAAGACAGAGCATCACTCGCTCAGATCATGAGTCACATGACTGTCTGCTGCCAACAGGAAGCAGATTCAGTATCACTGAACACGCACAAATTCACCTTTCACACGTGTTTTCTCACACTTTTCACACGCTAAAGACAAATCCAGAGTGAACAAAGAAACCAGCAGGACAACTGCTAAACACACACACACAGACACAGACACAGACACACACACACACACACACAGACACAGACACAGACACAGACACACACACACACACACACACACACAGA